AGCTTCATAAAATGAATTGGGAAGTGTTCCCTCCTCTTCTGTTTTCTGGAAGAGCTATTTACAATTGTATTAATTCTGTAACTGTTTGATTCACTTATCCAATGAATCACTTGAGACTGGAGACTTCTTTGGGGGAGGTTTTAAATTATAAATCAAGTTTCCTTGGTAGTTATAAGATGTTCAAATTATGTATTTCATCCTGGATAAGTTGTGATAGTAAATTTTTGTAGGAATTGGTCTACTTTATGTAGGACGTTGCAATTGTAGCTATGGCTTGTTTGCATGTCCCCTTGTAAGCCTTGTGTCTGCAGGGTCTGTAGTGATGTCCCCTCATGGGCCTGTGTCTGCAGGGTCTGTAGTGGTGTCCCCTCATGGGCCTTGTGTCTGCAGGGTCTGTAGTGATGTCCCCTCATGGGCCTTGTGTCTGCAGGGTTTGTAGTGATGTTTCCTCTTTGATTCCTGATATTGGCAATTGCTGACTTGGTCAGTTTTATCTTTTGTTTGTTTGTTTGTTTGTTTTGAGACAAGGTTTTACTATGCAGCCCTGACTGGTCAGAAGCATGCTCTATAGACCAGGCTGGTCTTGATTTCACAGAGCTCCACCTGCCTCTGCCTCCCAAGCGCTGGGTTTAAAGGTATGTACCGTCACACCCAGCTAAATAAATATTTTTAAAGAGAGAGCTGTGTTAACTTTCTGGGTGTTTAGAAATTGTTCTGCTATTCTGGTTTCTGCTGTAATTCTCTTGTCAGACAACACACTCCCTGTGGTTTCCGTTCTTTTAAACTTGTTAAGATTTTCTCCTAAGGCCCAGGATACTGCCTATCTCGATGCATGCCTTGTAGCACCTGAAAAGAATGTGTTTTTGTTCAAGTGGTGCATAACTGTTGACTGTTTGGAGTTAGGGAGATGCTCAGTGAGCACAGTGCCTGCCACATGATGTGAAGCCCTGAATTCTATCTCCAGCACCCACGTGAAAAATAAACAGATAAAAACAGGTACAGATGCAAAACAGCTTGTAGCATGGGGGGGCAGAGACAGGTGAGCCCCTGAGCCTTTGGTCAGCCAGGCTAGACAAAGTGACAAGTTCTAGGTTCAGTGACAAATGCTGTCTTAAAAAATAAGGTGGAGAGGGAATTGAAGATATTCTGACATTGACTCCTGCCCTGCACAGGGGTACACACATGAACAGACAGACAGACAGACAGACACACACACACACACACACACACACACACACAACAACAACAACAACAATGTTGATTGTTGAATGGACATCTAAATTTACCTGAAGGCTTAGAGATCATCAACTCAGGTTGATGTAAGCTATGACTTGCATTCTACAGATTTCCTAATAAATAATCTAAAACCTTACTGAGTTTGCCAAGGAGGCTGTGAAGGCTCCCAGGGGCCCTGCTGGCCCTTTGAAGGCCAGTCCTTAGACTAGCCAGCAGCTCAACCTCTGGCTCTATAAACATGTCCTGGCTGACATTTTTGCTTTTGAACTTCTGAGAGACGTCATACAAAGTCTGTGAAAGCTGGGGTGCCTTGGGTTGACATTCTTCACCCAATTGTAATTGAGGGTCTTAGGTGGAGAGCACCCTTTAATGATTAGGAAACACAAGCTGGAAGTAAAGATGGTAGGTCACGCTGAGAGGCCAGGAACACGTGACGGAGGCAGAGCATGACCCTTAGGCTAATGCCTTTATCGCATCCTGAGCACTACCCTGCCAGGTTCCTCCTGGGAGTTTTAATTGATGATTTAAAACAGGCAGACATGAGTTCCAGGAGGCCACAGTAAAAACGAAATTGTTACTGTGGCAAAGGACTGCACAGTGCGTGCAGGGTGTGGGGAAGACAGAGTGAGTCAGGCAGGCTAGAGCTAGCTATCCACAGGGAGGTGGTCACCAAGAGGAAGTAGTTTAAGGCAGACATCCGGACTGACACCTGAGGAGGTGGGACGTGGAGATCCGGAAACAGGTTTGGGGTGTCTGAGTCTGCTCTGGTGTGAAAGTGTGTTGTGCACTCGCGGTGAACATCAGGCACACGACACCAGGAGGTTCCCACAGAGGAACAGTGGGACCTTAGAGGTTGAACTAAGTGACTCATTTAATTTCTTGTGCCATTAATAAACATTAATAAATATGTTTAGGAGGGGAAAGAGTGTTGGAGAGAAGGGAGGAAGGGCTAGGTGTGGTGACTTGAGCCTATACTCCCAGCATGTGGGAGTACAGGCAAAAACAAAGTTAGAGGCCATCCTGGGCTACAAAAATCCTGCCAAAAAGAAAGGGAAGAAGAGCATAGAAATGCACAAAAGTAGACTCGAGTTAGACCAGAATGGCTGGTATTTGTATTATGTTGAATGGCCACAGGAGAAGAAATGTTAAAAACAGAGCATATTAAAATGCATAAAGTAAGTATGGTTTCTAAACTTGAGAGTTAAACCTGTAAAGAATAAATCCTCTTAGGCTTCTATAGTGGAATTCTATACAGCACTAACAACAGAACTTCCGGCAGTGGTGTTAGTCTGTACCAGCACAGTGTCACTAGCTGCATGTGGCCTGGTAGGGGACATAGTGGCATCACAGGTCTGTACTACAGGGCAGCTGTGGAGCCGATCTTATCAGATTATGCCAGAAGTTAGACATGGGAGAATACATCAGCGATCGTTGGTGTCTGTGAAGTGCAAAACCTGTGAACCAAGGTCTGCTTAGAGTTCAAGATGGAGGCGGCCTGAAGGGAGCCAAGGCAGTTTCTGGGTGCCAGAGATTTTCTGTTTCTTGGGCTGAGTAGTGACCAAGATGTGAAAAAAAGGCCTTTTTTCCTCTTTATACAATTAATACGTTGTTGTTGGAGGAAATGTGGCTACTCCAAGGACAGGAATGGATGCCACACACACTCTTACAAGCAAAAGATAAGTGCTGTTTCCACTCTGGAGGGCGCCCTCGCAATGTGTTTGTAAAAATGGGGTCGCTCTGGTACCACTGCAAAATCATTTTATTTATTTTTATTTTATGTGTATGAGTGTTTTACCTGCATATATGTAACTGTACCACGTGTATGCAATGCCCATGGAGGCCAGAAGAGGATGTCCTATTCCCTGGAATTGGAGTTTGCTGCCATGTAGGTGCTGGGAACCAAATCCCGCCCCCATCCTCTACAAGAGAAGCCAGTGCTCTTAACCACTGAACCATCCCTTCAACCCCTCAAAAATCATTTTTAAAATATATTTTATTTTTATTTTATGTATATGTGTGTATTGTTTGCATGTATGTGAATGCACCGTGTTGTGCAGTGCCGCAGAGGTCAGAAGAGGGCGTCAGATTCCCTGGAACTGGAGTGAAGAACGGTTTGTTGCCGCCATGTGGGTGCTGGGAATCGAATTCGGGTCCTCTGCAAGAGCAGTCGGTGCTCTTACCCACTGAGCCATCTCTCTAGCCCCCAAAAATCATTTTTAACTTCAACAGCAGACACAAACTTTTTTGTGTTTTTTCATTTTTAGAGAAAGGGTCCTGCTGTGTATCCTGGCTGGCTTGGATTAGATTTGAACTCACGGCTGATATTCCTGCCTCTCTTTCCCAAACATGGATATTTTAAAAGACTGTCATTCTTCTCTTCCTCTTTTCTTTTTCAAGTAGGATCCCATTGTGTAACTGAAGCTAATCTTGAATTTGCTCCTCCAGCCCACCTGGCCCCCAAACTCCTGCCTCGGCCTCCCAAGTGCTAGGAAGCAAGATTGTCTCTACTCCAGATGCATCATTACTTATTTAACAAATCAAGGCTCAGCAGGTAAAAGCGCTTGCCACCAAGCCTGGTGACCTGAGTTCAATCTCTAGAACCCACATGGTATAAGGAGAGACCCAACTCCCACAGATTGTCCTCTGTCCTCCTTACAGGAGTCTTGGCATACATGCACCTCCTTCCCCGAGGCCGTGACAGGTTTTTTTTCTGTTTTAAATAGTATCACAATGGGCTAGGTATGGTGATGCACGCCTTTAATCCCAGTACTCAGAAGGCAGAAGCAGGAGGATCTCTGTGAGTTCAAGGCAGAAGCAGGCAGATCTCTATGAGTTTGAGGCAGAGCCAGGTGGATCTCTGAGTTCAAGAACAGCCTGGTCTACACAGCAAGTTCCAGACTAACCAGGGCTATATAGTGAGACCCTGCCTCAAAAACAATAAAAAATGTCGTGACTGACGTCTTTTGTATGCTTGTATATCAGTCACTAGAAAGGAGGTACTGCCTCAGCCTAACAGCAGACTTAGTTTTGAGAGCCATTGCCCGACTGGGCTATTGAAAATGTTTCTTAAGCAGAGCAGGTTTTGACTGTCTGACTTGCTTTGGCTGCCATAGAGGGTTAAGCTTTAGGTATCCCACAAGAGTCCATGAATTCCTTGCCCTGAATGACTATCACAGAAAAGAGGGCTCCTCTTTCCCAAAAGGGCAGACTCACTGCCCAGGATCGTGCTGTGGAAACAGGAAAGAGGCAGGTTGCAGTCGACCTGGGACATGAACCCTGTAAAAACAGCCACCCAGCCCAGTTTTACGAGGCAGGCAACAAAGGGCCCAGCCTGTTCCACCCGGCCCGCTTCCTCTCGGCACGCTCATCCTGGGAACACCATGTTTTCACTTGAGAAGTGCATTGACCCTACTCTGTCATAGTAATTGCCCCCATAAAGCGAGCACCAAGGGACAGCGTCACATAATTTAGGGACCCCAGGCCACTGTGCCCAGTGGCTAAAGATCAGAAAGAGCAGAATAGGACCTGGAACAGCCTTTAGGGACCCCAGGCCTGCCTGATTTTTATAGCTGTGCCCAGTGGCTAAAGATCAGAAAGAGCAGAATAGGACCTGGAACAGCCAGAGAGAAAAAGAAAACCCTGCACTCAGGAAGGGCTACAGGCAACCGACAGGCCAGGTAACACCGGCAGCTCACTCTGACAACCTGCTCGTCCCCTCACCTGTCTTCCCAGCCGGAGCTACATTGGTCTTTTCTGATTTGTAGAAAAAGAAGAACTGATCCAGGCTGTGCTGACACAGGTGGCAGAACAGTTCTCCAGGTACCGTGTCCTCTGTACACACACTTTCCTGACTCCCACCTCTCACATCCAAAGCCTTTGCTGGAGACAGGCCGTAGCTGTAGACATCCCTCTGCAGCCCCTGTACCTAACGTAGCTGGGCATACTCCTGCAAACCCTCACCTTACCCCAGAGACCATGTTCAGAAGCCACTTGTAATGTCAGCTCTGGGGCAGAGAATCCACCTCTTCTCCCTTCTGGCTGCCTGCAAAGTACCCTTTACAAATGAGAGTCCCCAGCGAGGCACTATGTGGGTAGAGGGCCCTTTTCCTTCTCTGTCACCCCACCAGTTCTAAATCGGTACTGTCAGTTTCACAAACTGATTTCCCTGTGGTGTCTTACTGCCAAATGGTGGAGCCTCCAGAAAGCACAGCAGTGCATGAGAGGTGTCTGCTCTGGGCAGAGTCCAGGGCTGGGCCATCCCAGCTGGTGGATGGAGGGCCTCAGGGCTTCCCAGAGAGCCCAGGATAGGGAAGGTCTTTAACAGCAACTCCAGATGTCTTGGACCGATCCCCAGCCTCCAACCTCAACCCTGCCAGGGATCCATGAATGTTCTCTAGTCGAAGTTGTCATTCAGGATTTTTGTTGGTTTGGTTTGGTTTGTTTTTTTTTTTTTTTGGTCTTTTTGAGACAGGCTCTCCCTGTAGCCCCAAGCTGTCCTGGAACTCACTATGTAGACCAGGCTGGCCTTGATCTCACAGAGCTCCACCTGCCTCTTCCTCTTAAGTGTTGGGATTAAAGATGTGCGCCACCACACCCAGCTATCTCTGAGGATTTTATGGGTCCTGTTTTGCCTTTTCTTCCCTCTCTTGCTTACAGAGCATTTAAAATCAACGAACTGAAAGCGGAAGTTGCGAATCACCTGGCGGTGCTGGAGAAACGCGTGGAACGTGAGTGGAGTTGTTTCCTTTCTGCTTATGTCTTTTAACCTCCATCAGAATTAACCGCTCAGAACAGCGACCAGCTTAGTGCTGAAGACAAATGTGTCTTTTCTGGGTCCGATGTTTGATACTCACAGGCTAAGCAGGGACAAATCTAAACCCACATTTCTGTTCTAAAGTCACGTGGCATGTTGTACGAAACCATTGTCTCTGTACACAACCCAAAGTAAAAACCCAAAGCGTGCACCCTGGCCCTGCAGAACCTCGGCCGGTCCCAGCTGTCTTAGTGGTCAGTGTGCCTCCCTTCTGCGGTGTTTTAGAAGGAAGTTGTGATCTTCTAATCTTTCTAATCGCCACAAAGGACGGCAGAAACTCCCCTGGTGAGCAAGGCAGAGTCATTTCAAGTCGTGTTCATTTTCCACATGGCCGACTTCAGGGAGTCACCCATGCTCCAAGTCCTCATTAATAAAAGGATCGATGGTTCAATCCCACAGCCTGCCGACCCGCGCTCCACCCCCAGGGGCTCACAGCCAGGGGCTCTCTGTCACTGTCCCGGCTCGGTCTGGCAAGATTATCGGGCGCCTCATTTATTAACTCAGGCTGAGCCCACAGAATTCCAACAGGAAGCCGTTAAGAGACAAGCCATTAAGAGACAAACGATGTCTAGCCATCCGTATTTGTGAGATTGAGTGGATGTCATTTTTGTATATTTTAATTGCCTCTTTTTTCAAAGAAAAATTCGTATCATGCGAGACCTGGTTCACTGAGATAAGTTGAAATGTCTCTGTAGTCGTCCTGTGCAAATGTTGACTTTCTCTAGCTTCCCTGGTCTTTGAGTCCTTGAGACCCTTTTGTTTCCCCCGGGGGTGTTGAGGAAGCCACAGAGAGCTTAAGCGACCTGCTCTAACTCGTTCAGCAAATGAGCTAAGAAAGCCTTGGACCAGGTTCTGGAGTCTTGAGGCCTCTCAGGGAAGAGTTGCCCTTCTCTACGCCCACATGCTGAGGAGGAACAGGCCCATGGGGCTCCTTCACGGCACAGGTTAGAGAAGAAACAGACTGTGGTTACTCTGAGAAGAAAGGGGTTTTTCCTAGAAGACTTGGGGCAGCCCTGCACTCTCAAAGAGGACTTGGGAGCGGACTGGTAACTGCAGTTTGGATGCAGCCTTCTTTGCGATACATATGCTGTGACACCCCCAGGCATCTCTCGTGTGGATCCCCAGGGATCCCTGTTTGCCACCGCACCTGGTTCAAAGCCTGGATGGAGCTGGGCCACCTCCTTGCTGCAGGGGAGCCGGAGCAGGACAGTGTGTGCTTCCTGTGGCCGCTGGGAAGTGTCACACGCTGGAGGCACCAGCCAGCTAGCCGCAGCTATGCCTTTTCCTGGTGCCAGAAGCTGGAAGCTCACACTCAGGGGGTGTCAGCAGGGCTGTCTCCTCTGAGCGCCTGAGGCAGAGTCTGTTCTGGCAGTTTCCAACCATCTCTGGTTGTCTGGCTGGGAGCCACATGTGACTGCAGCCTGCCTGTGTTTCACACCTCATCCTCCTCACGCCTGCCATGTCTCAGTGCCCCCCTTCTGTCTCTCATAAAGACTCTGGTATTCGAATCAAGAGTCATCTCAGCTCAAGTTCTCTATCTGATGCTGTCTGCTGAAGACCTTTCTCTAAATCACATTGTTGTCACAGGATCCAGGGGTTAGGGTGGGGACAGGTTTACTGCAGGACTCAGTTCACCCACTGCAGTGAGGGTTTGTCGTTCCTGTCATGGGAGACTAGCTCAGCCTCCTGCCAAGCCCTGTGGAGTCATGCCACAGAGTGTGCAAAAAGTTTGCTGCTGGGACACCATCCACAATTGCAGATGCATAAAACAGTCACAGCCTGGCACATGACTGCCATGCACATCCGGAGCCTCCTCGCCTCCCTCCGGCTATAGGTATCACAGCTGTTCTGCCTGGCATCTCCATGTAGCTCGGGAGTGGCCTTGTTCACACAAGCTCTCTGCCATTGAACCCCAGCTGGCTCTGGGCTCTTCCAGTCCTGGCACTTCTGATGCTTGGCCGCTTCCCATTCCCTAGAGGTCTTTACTTTAGCATGAGCAGGACGCCCCCCCATGCTGAGCCCCAGAGACAGTAAGCTTCAGGGAGAAGCCCATAGATGCTGTGTCCCTCATCCTGAAGATGCAAGTAGAGGTGTGTGAGGTACATGGGGGCAGTGGTGGGAGAGGAATGTTGTCTGAGAGAGGCTTGCAACTGGACCCCCCAAGCAGGCCACAGGGGAATTGTCCCACCCAAGTGGCCCTGACCTGTGTAGCTGCCTAAAGCCAGTTGGCCCAGGCTGCTGATGGGGAAGTCCATCAGGAACACAGCTTGAGTTTCTGTTCCGTGTAGACACTTGTACATTCATAAGAACATGCATGCACATGCACATACATGTATGCACAGAGACACATACAAACATACTCGTCTTCATCCTGTTCATCTGACTGTCGTCAGCTGTTTTCTGTGTCTCAGAGTAAGAAGCATCCAGCTAGCGTGGCCATCTGTAAAGCCCCCACACTGTGCTGGACTTGTCTCTAATGGAATGTCCAGCTTACTCTTTGACCTGAAGCACTTAATTCTTCTCAACCAAAACACATCTCTTCAGTGACTTTCAGCACTTTTCTGTCTTTCTGTGTAAATGTTTAGCCTTCAAGGAGTCTGGGATTTCTTGTGGGTTAAAGGTGATTTCATAAACATGGAACAGCCTGGCCCTCGCCTCCCATCCTGGCTACAATTATTCACTTCCTTCCTGGCGTGCTGTGGCTGAGGCACAGGGCAGCCCTGCTCTGTCCGCCCTTTGTACCCATGCCCTGGATCTGAACCAAAACCTAAACACGAAGTGTGGGGCCACAGCCAGAGCTGAACCCCCTGGGGGCAGAGGCGGATACAGCCATGCAAACAATCCAGAAGGTTCCCTGCCTAAGTGAGAACCGAGCCAGCCTTTCCTTGTCAGCCCCGAGCAGCCTTAGGAAGAAGGACTGAAAACTAGGTCTGTTTGTGGTCTCTGAGGGAGGCCTGTGTTTGTGCTGCAGCCAGCAGAGGGAATGCCCCCAGCTCCTGCGGCGGCTTAACCTGCAAACAAGCCTTAGGCAGAGCTGCCCCGGCCATTACTGATGCCCTTCCCACCGAGCCGGCCTCTCGTAAGAAGTTGCTCTTAAATCTCCTCCTTGGGAGGCAGGAAGGCGATGAAGACCACAGATGTCCCTTCTGAAGTTCACATGCACATCCACAGTCTCCCTGCAAGCCTGCCCATCAGGTCAGCGTGTCCGAGGGTCCATGTTAATTAAGGGACCAGGCCCTGGCAGTGCTGAGTGGCACGGGATGAGCCTCTGTTTTGGGGGTGCGTGTGCCTACCTGGATGTGAAGTTCAAAGAAAGAAGGGTGCCCTGCGGATGAAACGTGGGTCCAGCCTTGACCCCAGTGGCTCCCACAGTTGTCTGTAATGGAGTACCTTCCCCCATTTCAGCCCGTGGGACTGGAATAGGGCCTGTGGTGGGCAGTGGAACACTGGGTGTGGTGGGTCACACCTGTAATCCAAGATACTTAAAAATGAAGACGATTGCAAGTTTGAGCCAGCCTGTGCCACCCAGAGAGACCTTGTCTCAAACACACCCAGCAAGTGGAACCATGACCTCAGATCAGACATGCGCTCCTAGCTCTCCTCGGTCTGTTTGCTTTTCGGAATTTTCTCCCTTTCGTGGTCAACAAACTTAAGCTGGCTATAGTTGCTAATCTGCTTCTGGCCTCGTTTGTGCTTGTGGCAAGCCCTCAGAACACAGTACCGTGGTCCAGGGAAGGCCTCGGTGGCCACATTGAACTCATCACTAGGGAACCCCAGGTGTGCCTGTGCACCCGTCAGCAGAAGACCACCATGGCCTTCAGCAGCTTCTCTGGCCAGAAAACATGAGGAACCCACTCAGAAGGAGGAGGGACTGAATGTGTGAGCAAGCACGCCTCCCCGCAGTGTGCCCCATGGCCACTACCCAGACCCATCCCCAGACAGCCACCGACACCTAGGCCTCCCACTATCCTTGTAGGGAAAGGGCAAAAGGTTCTCTCACCCAGAAGCAAGTCACCAGGACCCGAGCTTAGCATGAGCCTTGGTGCAGAAGAGGCGGAGTCCCAGCAGAGCCCCGCCCCAGCTTGTTCACCACACTGGAAAGCTCTGAAAGCCTGCAAGGCAGCTGAGCCACACCAGGCCGCTTCTGTCCGTGCGCTGCCACAGCAGCCAGGGCGGGAAGCATCGTTAGGAGCCCCCCAAGTCCCCGCATCACTGTTTTTCCTTTAGAAAAGGTTCTCTCCTTATTTTTAGCGGTTCTGGAAAGCCAAGCTTGAGGAGGAGGACTAGGATGACACTGTGGGAAGTGTCCTTTTCAGAAAACTGAGGTGTGGCTACGAAGTAACGCCAGCTGCCGATAGCCCCCCCTCCTCAAGAACCCTGAGCACAGCCTGCAAGGGCGCATCTTGGTACATCACTAGCTGGGAAGCATGAGGCATGCACTCCCTCTCAGTTCCTGGCCTTTGCAGGGAGAGCCGGGGATGTGACCGACCCTGCGTTGCTGTTCCTTAACTTGGCTGGTTTATTTCTCAGCTGGTGGAAAGGTGGAGTGAACCCCAGATGTCAGCAGGGTGAGAGGAGGGGGCAGCCTCTGCGCTGAGCCAACATCCTTCTGGGACCCTTAGCTACCAGCTTGGTGGGCTTCCTTGAGCTTGGCTGTGGTAACCCTGCCTGTGTCTCTTTGTCACCAGTGGAAGGACTTAAAGTAGTGGAGATTGAGAAATGCAAGAGTGACATTAAAAAGATGCGGGAGGAGCTGGCAGCCAGAAACAGCAGGTAAGGCCTGTGCCACACTGCCCCTGGGAGGGCTCTGCATGGAAACCATGGGGGCGGCTGTGGGCTTCATTTCCGCAAAAGAAAGGCTAATGTGGCTTGGTTCCAACCTGGATGACACAGGCTGGAGGAGGCCTTGTATCAGGATCAGCTATGCTGTCCCATGTTTTATCATAAAGAAACATTTGTGGCAGGCGCAGCCTGGAAGAGGTCAGCACTGGAGGGTTACTCGCTTGTCGGAAGTTGACATTCATTAAAGAAAGACAGAGGCCAGAGACTTTGGCTTAAGGTGATGGGCATCCAGGCATCCCCTGGTCTCCCTGTTCCTATGGGTTGCCCCCTGTCAGAGAAGCATCCAGTGAGGGCTCCCGTTGTCATGGACACATATCACACACCCTGGAGAGGGTGATCTCCACAGAGACCAGTGATCCATCATTTGAGCAAATCATCTCTCCTGGATGGTTGGTCCACAGGACTGTCTATGGCCATAGCAGGGTAAGCTCACTGAAGACCAGCCGTGCACAAATGCCCCAAGCTGTCTTAGGACCCCCTAGCTTACTGAAGATTGTTCCCTAAGTACAACAAAGTCAGGCAGTTTACAGAAGGTGGGATGTGGAAGGGCCTGCAAGTAGGAGGTATGGGAAAAGACAGTGGTCCCCCACAGGCCTCCACCATGATGGCCAGCCTAGCTGGCGCAGCTCAGGGAGGAGAGGTAAGCAGTTGTCAACCATCTGTGAACTATGGTGTCCTAACATGTCACATTGACTGGCCAGCTGGTTTGGAGTTAGGGAGCTCTTGTTCTGTTTGTTTTGGGGGAGGGCAGAGCAAAGGAGTTTGCGACCATACAAAACTGAGTGAACAGCTCATCTCCAGCATCCCTGTGGAAGAAAGAAGCTCTTCAAGGGGCAAAAGAGAGTCCTCTATGTGTGGCCTCAGGAAAGAACCCAGAGTTACCTGGGGGTAGACACACTCTGCTGTGCCTCAGACCCAAGGCCTCCCTCAGCATGGTATCACCCTGCTGGGAACGGCCTTAATTCAGCCCGTTGGCAGTCCTACCGTCTGGCCACCGTAGGTCTTTGACTTGGCTCAGTCGTGAGTGTTCCTCTCTACAAAATTCAGTTTCAGAGCTTATAGAGCCATAAACCAGAGGAGACTTCCCACGCTGCAGCCGGCTTCCAGAGGGGCATTCTCCTCAGACCGCTGGAGGATTCCCATAAGGGAGAAGCAGGTCTACGGTATCTGTACTGTCTTGTCGACAGAAGCAGTCCATTTTAATCACATAAATTCACTGAGCAGTCAAGCTCTAGGATGAGACCTGTTAACGTGGAACCTCACTAGGATCATGGGGAGAGATTACATCCTTGAGGGATACAGTGCCTACATTCTAGCATTCCTGGGGCAGCAGAAAGAATGAGGCCCCAGGTGAGGTAGAGCCTAGCCTGTGCTCAGGAGTCTGAGGAACAGCCTACATTTGCCCACTTGTGAGCAGGGCCTGACCGGGCCTCAGAGCCACGGGTCTGGATACAGCAGAGGGCACATGTGAGGCCCACCAGTACCCTGGGCAGGCTGCCCTCTCCTGAGTCTCAGCTCTCTCTCAGTTTCCCCCAAAGAGGCTCAATGGCCAGCTCAATTCAGAGCAGGAGCAAGTCCTCCTACGGACCATGGCTGCTGTGGTCCCCAGCACTGTGCAAGGAGGGAATGGAGTGGGAAAGGAGCCAGATCCCCCAGTCCAGATGGGGCAGCACAGAAGCGTGGGGTGGCGACTGCAGCTTGGAGTCCACAATCTCTGCCTTTATCCTAGACAAATGGCCTTGACCATGAGCTGAGTCCCCGGGGAGGGGAGGGTGGGAAGCCCAGGAAATGAGCTTTAAATGGAATGAAAAGAAAGGGCGCTATGCCAGCTGCTCCGCCAGCTGGGGGATGCTTGTTCCCGTGGCAACAGAGCCCAGAGGGGGAAGTGGCTGGTTGAGGCGGGGTCAGCAGGCACCCAGCATCCTGGTCTGCTCCCAAGGCCTCAGTTTGCAGGAAGGAGCTGGGTTTCAGCAGTCAGCATCGTGCCTGTTGAGGGCTTCATGGTGGTCCTGGGGGATCCAGAAGATGCACAGAAAGAATAGAGACCACACGTGTAAATGTTCATACAAGCGAGGCTGGAGGAGGGAGGAAACAGTGGAGCCCGGTAGCCTGCAGGGCTCAGAGATGAGGAGATGGGCATTGTGGGCAGGGCGGAGGCAGATATGGTTTTCCTGGGATTGGTTCCTTCTAAATCTGTGTTAGAAGCTGCTCTGTACAGTGACCATCACAGTGACTCTGGTGCTTTTTGCAAACGTGGAGTTGGGAGGGAGTTAACCGAAGGCTGTGTTTCAAGAGGAAACGATTTATGATTCTGAGCTTGAAAAATAGCACAGGGTCATGGTAAAACTCCCAGACACCTCAGATGGGCGAGGTGGTCTAGTGAACCTAAAGAATGCCTCCGGTTTAAATCCTGCTCAGAGCCTCCAGGATGTTTTCCTGTTTGTAGGGTCTTTTTTTGGTCTTTTTCTGAGACAGGGTCTTATTATGTAGCCCTGGCTCACTTGGAACTCACTAGGCTGGCCTGGAAATCAGAGATCTGCCTCCTCTGCCTCTCAGTACTGGATTAAAGGTGTGTGCCACCACACCTGGTTTACATCTACGATTTTGTTTTTTTTTTTTTTTTT